AGAGCTCAAAGCCCCGGCTGGAAGTGGCCTCCAATACTGATGTGTCATGGTAAACCAACAGAGCAGTCTCACCATCTCCGACGTCTGGTTCAAGAACTTCCGCGGCAAGACCTCTGGAAAGGAGAATCCTTATGTTGGAACCCTGGTCTGCTCGAGCCCCGAGGTGAGTGTCTAGCTTTACTGCAATCGAGCCACAAGAACACAAAAGCTGACTAATGTCTCGATAGGTGTGCTCAAACATCTACACCGACAACATCAACGTCGTCAGCCCCAAGGGCACCAACGACTTTGTCTGCAATAATGTAAGTTGATTCCCCCCCGAGGTGTACCTGGCTCGATCTTATCGCTAATGCTGGATTAGGTGGATACCTCGGACCTGAGCGTCAACTGCACGGCGACTTCGAGCTAGATGACCCGAGTTTGTTTGACCAACTGTACATATTGAGCCGCTTTGATAGCTAGAAGGGAAATGTGTATGCTGGATGAATGCTATATTTCAACTTCCCGACCACACAAGCAGAAGGCTCCCTGTACATGCACCTTCAAGACTATACATATCCCAATTCCTACACTAAACTCGTACCAAACACTCTTCCAAGAACGCATCCACCCGTGCCACATCCCCCAGCGTAGCCACCACCCCCACGTACCCATCCGGCCGAACCACGGCCACCGCCCCATGCGCCGGATCCACCCCATAGATGGTATATACATCATCCAGTTCATAGCCACTGTAGAACTGCATCTCGGAGTGCCGCTTCAGCTCCTCGGGCGTATCCCGCCACGTGAAGTCCCGGGACAGGCGCGGGTGGATGACGACTTGCTCAATCGCGGAAGCCGGGTACTTGGGGAGAACTCGGGAGCCGAGGACGCGTAGGGTTTGTGCGGAAGTGCCTTTCGGGTTGAGAAGGTCGACGGAGGTTAGGACGAGGAGGCGGATGCGGCCGGTAGAGAGGAAGTCTGGCTTGGGGTTAGTTCTGAGGGGATATGAGGATTGGCAGGGAGGGGGGGAGGGAGGTTTGTCAGGCTTGGGCGTTGTATGGTGTACTGCTTCACGATGAGCGAGGGTCTTGAGAGAACGACTTACCATCATGCAAGTTTCGTCTGTTTCCATCTGCGTGACGCTTGTAGGTCACGTTTAGTAGTCTTCGACCGGGGCGCAGAATGCCGCTAAGGTAGTCGGTGCCTTGGATCGGGTTAGTGGGGGTGGTAGCTGCAGCTGCAGCTACGGTGCTTTTTGGTTTCGTTTGTTGTTGGTGTTGGTGTTGGTGTTGTACGATCAGGCTCTCTGGATATTCAATTCCACAACCGCTGGTGAAGCCGTTGCCTGTGCTGAAGACCTCGAGGAATTGGTCGTGGGTAAGCCCGGGGAGGCTGTCTGCGGCGTTGCCTATCTTCCCGGAGAACATGGAGGAGAAGGCGCGGTCGAACTCGATGAGCTGGTGAGCGATGGTGTGGCGTTCTGAGTGGTAGGTTGCGAGGATGGGATCTGGAGCCTGGGGGTTTGTTGAGCTCGGGGTGAGCTCGTTGACCACGTAGGCGAGTTTCCAGGCAAGGTTGTATGAGTCCATCATCGAGACATTCATGCCTTGACCAGCCTAGGTTGTGTTTCGTGTCAGTCGACGGGGAAGTTCCGTGCCAGGGCTGTGATACGTACCTTCGGGCTGTGTGTATGACAGGCTGCAGAGTAGGAGAGTTGGTTGTTTGGTTAGTTTGCCGGAGAAGCCTGAGGTTTGCCATGGGTAAAGCAGAGGACGTACCATCTCCCACAATGAACACCCGCTCGATTCCCTTGGTATCCTTGACAGTGAACCGATCTGAGACTCGTTGACCGATCTGGTACGCCGCCCACCAGTCTACTGCCCCGCCCTTCTTTGGCTGGATGTAATATGGCTTGAATGCATCGGCCGCGTGTTGAAAGATGCTTTCTAACGTCACTTTGCTTCTGCGAGCTCGCGCATCTTCCTTCGCGGCCGCCTCGTCCACCTGCTGCTGGTTCTCATCAACATCCCCATCCTCTGGGGCCCCTTCCTCAGGAACCTGTACATACAGGCGAGTCAGGTAATCCCCTGTCGCGATGCGCTCGCGCGGGATGACCATCACTGACCCCGCCGGCGAATGAATCGCGCACCGTCGCCGGATGTCCGGGAAATCCGTGTCCACCACCAGGTCAACGACGCCCCAGATATGATCCAGCGACTCGCCGACCAACTGCAGGCCCATGCACCGGCGCACCATCGAGTGCGCCCCATCCGCCCCGACCAAATACTTTGACCGTACCGTGCGCCGCTCACCGTTGGTCTCGAGTTCCGCAACCACGGGGAACTCCGGTTCAGCGTCCTCGTCAATTTTGACATGAACAAGTCGGGTGTTCCGCTGTACCCCGCGGGACGAATACCGTAGGAGGTCGGTCTCGAGGATGCGCTCGATTCGACCCTGGTGAATGGTGACCTCGTGGCGATAGCGGGCCGGCACGGCGACATCGGGCACGATGGCTGTGCGCTCGATGATCTCATCCGGGTTGGCGGACGGGTTCCAGAAGGCCACTTCCTCCATGTGGCAGCCGTCAGTGAGGATCTCGTCCGCGAGTCCCAGGCTCTTGAAGACCTCTAGGGTGCGCGGCTGCAGGCCGTCCGCCTGGCCGGATTTCAGGGTGCCTGGTTTGGCGTCAACGCAGAGGAGTGACTCGTCGCTGAGGCCGTATCGGGCGAGCAGAAGGTTTAGCATGAGCCCGGCGGGTCCAGCGCCCACGATGACTACTTCATATCTACCGTGGTTTGGTTGGTGAGAGAAAGGGGCACTGAGGCGGGGGAGCGGCGGGGCGAAAGAGGGTAGAACGCGAAGTTCGCGCGTGGAGGCGGCGGATTCAGTGAAGACAGGCATGAAGAATAAGGTGTGTATGCTATGAGCTCTTAAGCTTGAACATAGGCTATCTGAGCTACTTTTCAAAGGTCTACGCAGATACTGACGAAGGTATTATATAGGTTGACCTGGAGGGTGCACCCACCCAGACCCAGACTTTTGGCGGATACAGAAGCCACTCTGGGGATACCTATTGTTGTCCCAAAGAAGAAAGCTCCTACCCCATCGATAAGTCCACAAGTGAATCGTGATTGGCCTGGACCATAATTAGGGTATGCGAGTGGGCGGGTTATGGAGCCCTCTGGGGCGCTGACTGAGGATTACTTGTCCCTCACTAATCCGCCCTTGATCGTCCTTACATGGCTCACTTGGTCTTCCTAGGTACCTGAACAGCCCGATCGCCTTCCATTTGCATGCCATTCAGAAAGTCACAGTTGATGATCATGTTCAAACCGATGCTCTTCATCAACAACGGAGTTTCAATAATCAATGCTTGACATCACAAAACTGTTTCCACTTTCTGGACGCAAGACTTCAGAGTCGGCAACCGGCCCAGTGAGATGCATGCCTGGCATCGATGCAGCTCACGTTCCGCGCAGTTAGTTAGCCTGAGATCGGTGGCTGAATTACTCAATGCTTACTGAGTTCCAACCACGCGGGGGTAACTTACTGACAATTCAGGGTACGGACATTCAATGCCACGTATGGTGTTCATACTTACCGGTATTCGTGTACTGCAAACCGGGAACGCGTCACGACCGCTGTAAGGTATCGAGCCAACACACTAAACGCCGAAGTATACTTCCATCTTTCGACAGGGCAAATATTCGTTCACGTCACAGCCACTAGAACAAATTGGTGCCATAGCTGCCGCCGATTTTCTCCGCGCATTTCGGTGAAGCCGCCAAGCCTCGAGAGAAGGTCCGGCGGGGTAAAACTGGGGACGTTGGGACAAAATTACGGGGTAAGCTTACGCCGGCACTGGATAATGCTTGGTCCTGTAAGGTAGAGACGGCTTTACGGAAATACGGATAGCGAAGGATGATGATGATCAAGCTGATCCAGACAGCCGATCGTCTCCGCCGTGCTGGATATACTGCCGGGAATCCCCCATTCCATGCAGGACACTGCATCTTCAGATCCAATAAATTGTTTCTATACCATATGCTGGGGGTTTCCCGAGGCATACTCCAGACTCTACTTAGCGTCTGTCGGATCCGTCATCGCTTGGAAAGCGCAACTGTACGAATCCCCACATTGTGAAATGGCTGAATCATGACCATTGCTCCAATGCTGATGAGATTTCCACGAAGGGACAGTCTACCACATAGCTTAATGTGGACTAGAACCCACGCAAGAAGGTATTTACCAGGATCACTGTTCCCTTAGTCTGGGAAGGAAGCTAATTTGTCGACAAGCCCTATCTTCCACACATTATGCCCACTATCTCGTCATCCAATTGTGAATGAGGCAGGTTGATTGGTTCGACAGTATACACGATAATGGACACCGTATGAGGGGATCCCTGTCAATCGTTATACATTTTATGATTACCAACCAGCGCCATCATTTGTCTGTCTCGCAAGCCAGTCCACACTCCCCACCCTCCGAATGTGAAGCTCGGTTATCTTTGGCGGGGGAACGGGAGGTGGGTCTTACCGGTTGAACGTCGTGATTTCCATTGCACGCAGCGAAAGACCGCAGAAAGTCCGGTTTACCCACCCACTCAGAGGCCTACCTATAGTAGGTGCTAAATCTCATCTCCCCTCCCCGGTTCCAACTGACAGGCCGTCGACCGTCTTCAACGGACCTAAGAGATGCTGGCAGGGAGGGGGGGATTCCCGTGAGCTAAGTGGGTATAGCCCTGCCTATCTCACTCCTTCCCAGTCGGGGCTAATATGTTTGAGCCAACGGTGTAACGCAAACAATCTACGATAGCGTCAGTCCGTGTTACCGCCCTAGGGAAAAAGAGGGGGTCCATCACTTATTCCCGCTCTCGTGGAGACGAAACCCCTCCCCGGCTAATAGAGAGCAGCTCCGCTTTGCTTAAAGCGACCGTTGGTCTCATGATTGGGGCAATAAATAGGCATAGGCCGAGCTCCGTGCTTCCCACTTGGCTTTCTCGCAGAATACATTCATGTCGCACACGTTTTCTTAGCCTCGATGTCCGCAATGATCCAACGATGGTCGCAATTCTTCGGATTTACTTCCCACAGCAGTGCTACTGCGGCGTCTGCAGCCAATGATTGGATTGTCCAAGAGCGGGCTGTTGATGACTACCGCCTGCTGAGAGTCGTGGTGATCGGTTCAGGTATTTCTGGGATCATCTCTTCAATCCGACTTCGGCAACGGATTCAGAATCTGGATCTCTGCGTTTACGAGAAGAATACGGATATCGGTGGCACTTGGCTGGAGAACAGATACCCGGGTTGTGCATGCGGCAAGCACTCCTGCCATTCCGTTGATAGATACACCAATAGGCAATCTGCTAACACACTGGCTTTGCAGATGTTCCGGCTCACACATACCAGGCTACCTTTGAACCCAACAAAGAATGGTCTGCCTTCTATGCCGCAGCCCCCGAGATTCACAAGTATTGGACGCGGGTGGCAGAAAAGTATGGCTGTATGGAGCACATCAAGTTTGAACAGCAAGTCATTGAGGCCTCGTGGGACGATGCTACAAGCAAGTGGAATCTGCTGGTCAAAGATCTTGCTAGTGGGTCGACCTACCAAGATCGATGTGATGTGCTCATATCGGCTACGGGGGCTTTGAACGACTGGAAGTGGCCGAGTATTCCGGGCCTCCATGACTTCAAGGGGAGATTGATGCATAGTGCTGACTGGGACGAGTCATATGACTACAGCGTGAGTTGAACCCAGTTTTCTTGTGGCCAAGAGGACTGGTGGCTGACGTCCGACCAGAACCAGAAAGTGGCCGTGATTGGGAACGGATCGAGTGGCATTCAGATCGTTCCCGGCATGCTGCCGAAAGTGGCGCATATTGATCATTATATCAGAGGTCGCACTTGGCTGTCACCTACCTTCGCCAGGAATCAGGTCGATAAGCGTGGCACTGAACTCGAAAACTGTAAGATTGCGTTAGTTGAGAGAGGATTTCCTGGTTGACCTGTCAATCATAGTTTCCTTCTCTCCAGAGGAGATTGCAAGATTCAAGACGGACCACAACGCCTACCAGAAGTTCCGCAAAGGTAATAATTCATTCTAGCCTTTCTGTATTTTACCTCGGCAGCTGCTTACGACATCAGAGATCGAGCTTGAGCTGCAGTCTATCCATGGTGCAACGCTTCTGGGAACCCCTGAGCAGCTAGGTTCTGAAAGTGTCTTCACACAGAATATGAAACGGCGCTTGCAACGTAAACCGGAGCTCCTTGAGAACCTTCTTCCCTCATTTCCTCCTGCCTGCCGCCGTCTGACTCCAGGTCCTGGCTATCTAGAGGCCTTGACAGATGAAAAGGTTGACGTCATTTCGAGCGAAATTATCAAGGTGGATTCGACTGGTATCATCACAGCAGACGGTGTGCATCATCCTACCGATGTTTTGGTATGCGCCACGGGGTTCGACACCACGTTCACACCCCGGTTCCCCATCACTGGGCGCGATGGATTGTCTTTATCCCAGCGCTGGGAGAAAACGCCAGAGACTTACCTATCTTTGGCAGTGGATGGGTTCCCCAATTACTTTGTCTGTCTCGGCCCGAATGCAGCCTTGGGTGAGGGAAATCTGCTGCTTCTGATAGAGAAAGAGATCGATTACTTCACGTGCTGCCTACAGAAGATGCAACGGGACAACATCCGCGCAATGTGTGTCCGGAAAGAAGCCGTGGCGCAGTTTACTCGGCACTGCGACCAGTATTTCTCACGCACCGTGTTTAGTTCGAGCTGCCGCAGCTGGTATAAAGGGGGGCGAGAGAACGGACGAGTGACGGCACTGTGGCCTGGTAAATTCCTTTCTTTTTTTCCGGTGTTTGTGATTCGTGCGCATTTTCTTACCGATTCAGGTTCGTCGCTCCATGCTATGAAGACGCTCGCGCATCCACGCTGGGAGGATTACACGTATGACTATGTGGACAACAATTCGAATGGCTGGATAGGCGACGGGTGGACCATGAATGAGAAGAACAAGGTTGTCGATGTCGACTATCTCGACGACGACCAGATGGACTTCCCTCCAGTTGCCTGTGTGATGGGCAATCAATAGAAGTTAGAGGTGGAGAGGAGGGGGGGGGGGGCTGGGCTTGACTTCGGGAGTGGCTGGTTTCTGTCCCCGTGCGACTCTGCTGTTTTGTTTTTCCTTTCTATGGAAATCTGATAACCTATGATGACATTCTAGCTTCCTCTCACGATTAAGATCCGTCTGTAGTAAATATAACCAGAGATCTCCAGCCTACCGGATGACCCGAACGTGTTGTACAGCGTTGAACGTGAGTTCGAGAACTGGAGGGAGCAACGGCGGCCCAGGTTTGGTTAGACTTTGGTGGCGTTTGGACCAAGCAAGTAGCCAGAGGTACAACAACGGGCAGTCCTAGTTTTGAAGAGTAGAGTTGAGATGATTACCAAGGTTGACAGTGGAAATGGGACGTCACTCATGGAAGGTGGGATTAGGAGGAATTAGGGGGAGGGGGAGGGGGGAGGGAAAGGAACCGGGGAAGGTGAATAATGCGAGCGAAGACAAGAGAGAAATAAGGAAATAAGGTTTTCCTGCGTGAACGTCGAGGCTTAATTGTCGGTCTCATTGTCCGATTGTCAGGTTTTCCCAGTTGGAGTGGAAGAAAGTTGTGGGGGTGCAAAAGTGCCAGTCAGTGCCAGTCAACTGCAGTGGGCGGGACTGGGAGGGACTGGGAACCAAAACGGTCTAGCGTGTGCAGGCGAACCAGCGACTTTATCGAGCGCGGGAAGGAAACTGAAGAATCGACGGGCGTGACGGAAGGCCCTCCAGCTCCAGCCACTGGCAGCCTGGAGCCTGGAGCAGCAGAACTACAGCTAGAACTGCAGAAATGAACAAGTACTCCACCACCACCACCACCACCACCACCACCACCAGGTCAATCAGTCAGTCCGTCAGTCAGTCAATAATAATCCACCTTCCCCAGAATCCAACCTCTCTGTCAACCAAGACTCTTTCTTTTTGAAAGATCCATCCTTCTCTCTTGTGACCTTCTCTTTCCATTGTACAGTAAGTTACTTGTTTCATGATGACTGAACCTGTCTCAATACTTTCTTCAATCTAGACATCCACCCACTCTCTTCAGACTACCACTTCAGACGTGTCGTTCCGCTTTGGATCGAACGGGCTTCTTGCGCGCTTTTACCGGCACCGCGGACGTCTCCACTGCCTGCATCATCACCTTCAGCTCCATCCGAGTTTCCACCGCCCGCTCCCGATCTGCCCTTGGCCCCGATCCCCCTCCCCTCCCCCCGTATCCCTCCCCTCCTTTACCCCATATTTCCACCTTCATTTACCCCCTCCAAAGGCTCAAACCCTTCCATTTCTCCTCGATGCGCACCGGTTCCTTACCATGAAGTCTGCTTCAAGCAAGCATTTCTGTTGTACCATCTGCCAGCGAGGTTTCACGCGCATTGACCATCTCAAACGCCATCACCTCCGACGTAAGTCCAATCACTCCCTTGTTCCCACACTTCCGGTCATTGCTTGTCTCTGGGCCCGTTCCCGCACACCACAGCTCACTGATTCTGGACGAACTCTTGGGTTTCCGATAGACTCCGGTGTCAAGCCTTACTCATGCATTTTTTGCAATGAGTCGTTCGCGCGCTGGTGCGTATGTCCCGGGGCGCTGTAACTGATTCAGTCCCGCTCATACCCCGCGTCTTGCGGATTCCGTATGCTTTGATGCTGATAGCCACGCGTTCTTTCATAGTGATAATCTCCGCGACCACTATACGGATTGCGACAAGCGCGGAGACCAGAAGATCCCGGAAACGGGGCAGAGGGGCAGGCGACGACATGCCTGCCAGTCGGCAAGTCACTTCTTTCTTTCTGGAGCGTCTCAGAGCATAGTTTCTAATTCAGGTTCTCTCTCCTTAGTGCACGTCAATGAAGCTGCGATGCGACGGGCAAAGTCCTTGTGGTTCCTGCCAGAAGAGAAATCTTCCGTGCAACAATGAGCGTAAGAAGCAGACCACTGGTCTCGAGCTGGACACAGGCGCAAAATCGACCAATCGCGATGACTATGTCGGTACCTCCGATCGCGGATCGATCAGCTTTCTCTTGAATGGTGGCTCCGACAGCTTCACCGAAGAGTTTCGACTCCCTCCTTGCAGCGACCGCAGTCGGGGCATGAAATATCATACCCAGATGGGGCTGAAGGAAGCAAGGTCTACCATGCTCGACTACCAGATGGAGCTTGATCAGTTGGATATCGCGCCGGCATTCATCGAAGCCGATCCCGCGGCACGGTCCTTTTTCCATGATAACTTTCTTGACTTCTTCAACGGTCCGTTCGAGGGCCCACCCAAGTTTATGGGCACATCTTCCTATAGTGCAGGGCCCGAGTTCAGCGCGAGCCTCCCGCAAACCCAATTTAGCACCACGCATCCCAGTGAACAGCTGTATGGACCGGAGCAGCCCTATGCCGCTGCACTCTCGCAAGCGATTCTATCACGAGCCTGGGCCGTTCCCTTGGATGCTAACGCGAAGCAGCGATTGGCTGCTAATGCTAGCTTCTTGTTGACTACCGCGCGCATCCAGAAGTTTGTGTGGATGTATGCCAGATACTGGCATCCGAGTTGTGCCATGGTCCACCTTGCGTCGCTGCAGTTGAATACCGTTCCGTTGCCTTTATTGGCAGGATTGGTATTCATGGGTGCCATGTATTCGAATGATGAACAGGAAACGTATGCTGCCAAGCAACTGCTGGACTTCGTGGAGCTTTATATTTTCTCGACCGAGGTTTTCGCCCCGGAAAGCGATATCGCTTCCATGTTCTGCAAGGGAAGGACCAACCTCCCTCCTGAGGGAGATGATTGGGTCCAGTTCCTGAACTTCCAAGCCGGCTTCATAATATGTATTGTGCAATACTGGTCAGGCTCTCGCATGTCGCACAATCGCGCCATGGAGAATCGTTTTAGTGAAATCACCAAGGTATTCCTTTTACCGGCCTATAGCGTGGGGAGTGGGCAACTAACTGAATCGAGAAGGTCGCTCGTCGAATGAACCTTACCAAGTGTCGTCACCAACGCCCCGACGTTACTTCAGAGCAGCAATGGATTCAGACGGAGTGTCGCATCCGGTAATTGTCTCATACAAAGTGCTATATCGTGACCACTCGCTAATCATGATAGAACCATTTCCATCATCTCTCTTCTCGACTGTGCCTTTTGCTTCTTCCAGAACTACCCATGTCGCTTGTCGCATGTGGAAATGGATTGCGATTTTCCCTGCCCAGAGGCACTTTTCAATCTAGAACATCCATACACAGACATAGGATTTCATTATTCTCGAGGCTTCACCATCAAAGAAGCCTTTCAGAGTCTGTTCGACGGATCGAACGCCCCAAACATGTCATTCCCTCTCTCTCCAGATTCGTCGACGAATCCCAGTGGTATACTTCCAAACATGAACATCCTTGACATGTTCATACTCATCCACCGTACGTAAAAATCACTATTCAACACGACATTGCCTTCTCGACTGCTAATGCCATTATAGTCCTTTACGCCTTCATAAATACCTATATGACTCTTGCCTCCGTCACGCGTTCCAATCAGCCCCCAATCCAGTCCCCGCCCCAACCCAACCAGCTTTCAGATCCTACATCGCCCGACAAACCCCGGCCACAGAATGCGCCGGAAGACTCTGTGCTGGGTTCTATCCGCCTCGCATTAGCCCGCTGGCGCGAACACTGGCTAACACTGCAAAGTGCCGTATCCAACCACGAATGGGCGTCCATGGGATTTTACAAAAACGGCTATAACTTCTGGCTAGTGTGCCACCTGCTCATCACTAGGAAGGAAAGCATGGACGTGGTCATGCGGCTAGAGGTGAAGTGCGAGGACAAGCTGGAGAAGTTGAAGGTGCTGCTGAACGATGACAAGGATTGACCTGAGCCTGGGAGCAATGCATGTCTGTATGGCCTAGAGCACTTGCTTATGAGAGGAGTTGTGAACCTTAACTGTTTTACTGTATGTATTAGTACGGCGTTTGTGGGTTTGCGCTCATGCTTGGGAGGTGGTTATGGGAAACTGGGGTGTAGTTCGGAGTTTCGTGGGTTTCCTTTTGCGAGAATCATAGGGCTCGGAGGTTTGTATAGTAGCAGTCTGCTTAGGGAGTTCATATATCTAGGAGAGGATTTAGACCAACCCTCACGGGGGACATTTCGAAACAACACTTACTACTGCATTTGGACTTTACATGGTGACAGCTCCCGGTAAATAACTATATCTAAGCAGAGAGCCAACTAACTAACTATCAAGCAGATCTTAGTCAGCCGAGGCGGCCTTCCGCTCCCTCCCTTCCTCCCTTCCTCCCTCCCTCCCTCTCTACCTCCTCCTTCACTTCATGCCCCCAATTGCTTTTGCCATCGGCATTTATCTCTCCTCTTACATATCTTCTTGTCAACTCACCATTCTTCCTATTACACCCGTCATGCACACTGCGAAGGCCAGGGGCGAAGATGAACTTCGATGCGAGGCATTCATCAGATCAACATCATCGAGGAGAGAATGCCAAGCGTGGCTTGACAAATGACTTGCCGCGTCTCGAGTTGGAAATGGATTCCGAGTGGTCCAGTGTCCGAAAAGATGAAGATCCACCATCCACCAACTACATGAGTACTAGTACTACGGAGTAGTCGCACTAAGTAACTGCAGCCTCGCAAGTAGAAATGGGGCCCGGGGACGGACTATCGCCAACCTAACCGCGATAGTGTTGCGACCGTCTCACATCCACTCTCCTGAGGAACCAGGACCGACAACCACTTAACCGAGTCTCCATCCATCAAGTTTTTGTTGACGGACCGGTCCGTTGTGATCCTTCGTCCCTCCCCCCGCCCTCTTTCACAAGTCGAAAGAAATGTATCATCTCGAGAGCAACGAAGCCCAAGCCATTTTTCCTTACAAGCGACGTCGGTCAGGCGGCACACGGTCGCGCACGGGCTGTCGAACCTGCCGGTAAGGGTCCCCTCGCTAGCGGCCGTTATGCGCATGAATTATGATCGGATCAAAACTAATCGGATGGCAAGCGCACGTCGGGTCAAATGCGACGAGACCCCTGGCCATTGTTACAACTGCACCTCTACAGGCAGAACATGCGAGGGCTACGACCCATCCCCATTACCTCGCCCAAACAACGCCCAACGGCAGCGGGTACTATATCCCCAGCTGCCGTTGGCGGTTACCACCACGATCCGCTGCATCACCACCGCCGATGAACGGCGCTGTTTCGCATTCTTTCAAAGACGCACAATTCCGGATATCCTGGGGGCATTTGATTCCCCGTTATGGCACCAGTTAGTGCTGCAAATGGCACAGCTGGATCCGGCGGTTTGTCACGCTACGATGGCGCTGGCGGCTGCCCATCAGGAGTGTCAGCTCACCGGCATGGGGTTGCGCCCGCAGAAACAACAGAGTCCGTGGAACTTATTCGCTTCCGATCAGGCGGCGCGCTCTTTTGCCCTGCTCAAGCAGCGGAACCCCCAGGACCCGCTGTTGCCGCAGGTGGTACTGCTTTGCTGTATCCTCTTTGTCATGTTGGATTTGGTGTGGAGGGAGTTCGACGCAGCCTTCCTGCACCTGCAGAGTGGCCTGCGCATCCTGAATGAGCTTCATCGCCAGGGTAAGCCGGTGTTCCGGAACCGACAGGGATCGCCCGTCGATTGGCACATCGTCACTGCTTTGCAACATCTGGACATACATTCGACACAATTCGGCTGCGAGGCGCCGTTCCTTGCGATTCGGGAAGAGGCTCGATTGGATTCGACTGCAGCCCAGTGGCAAACAATCCAGAGCGTTGCGGAAGGACGCAGGGCACTTGATCCCCTCACGACACTGACGCATGAGTACACGAGGCGGGCCTGGCCGTCTCATAAAGAGCACGATCCCGTTCTCTATGCCTCGTTGTACCGCGAGCAGTTGACACTCCTCTCGCTGGTGGATCAAGCTCAGCAGGCCATGCGGGACTTTCGTCTCCGACATTACGCCTCTCTTGGGTTCAGGGACCAGGTAGGGGCCGACATATTAAAGGTCAATCTCCATTGGCTCTGTTTGGGTCTGCGCACGACCTTCCCGCTCCCTGAAGCTGCATACACGGAGAGCATTGCTTTTGAATGCCGACAAATCCTCACAACATCCGAAGTGATCATCGCAAAACTTGGCCCCCAACGGCCGGCGATCATGTTCGACAATGGGATTATCTCGCCCTTATTCTTGGTGGCCGTCTTATCGCCAGACTTCTGTGACCGTTGGCGAGCCATCATGGCTCTTCATGCCTGGCCGCACTGCGAGGGGCCGTATAGCTCGGCGTTTCACGCCCATCTAGCCGAAAAGATGCTGGAGAACGATCTGCGAGCTCGAATTCGGGCCGAGCTGACTACCACTTTGAACGATTTGCCGGACCAGCAGCTCCTCGAGGACCAGCTGAGCGAACGATTAACGAGGATCACGGGCCGTTCGACTTTCAAGAATGATGAGGAGCTAGAGCGGTATCTGCATGATCTTACTCAGCCAATGGCCCGGTGGCCGTGCGCTCCTCTTTTGGTCCGGGCTGGAATCCTTCCCGACAGACCAGCGGTGCCATGAAAGTGATAGTGGTCGACTCCATACAATACATTTTCTGGAGGACTCGCAGCCCTCCAAAGTGTCTGTGAAGGTCTGTGCATTGACATTACGAAGTCAAGGATTGCGCACACGACTCGACCCCACTCTGCTCTATCCCCTAGTGAGTGGGAAACCATCGATATAACGCGTGCGAGAGCGGGTCCTAGGTTGATTCACACCAGGTTCCGATTACTTAATCGGCGACGAAACAAGCGGTCTTGCTCGGCATCACGTCGGGATCCGCAATCTCGAGGTTTTGGCCCAAAATTCGGGAAATGGTATGTCGTTGTGACAGCCCGTGCATCAACACCACCAGGTTAAGGATTACACACGCGAGTCAATACATTTCCTCTTTCCCCATCCCGTGAGCCAGGTAGCAGCCAACCTGACGCGTGCCACAGAGGCAGCCCCGGGGTGGGAAATACAAAATTCCAATACCTAATCATATGATCGGCATGTAAACGAGCAGTCTTTCCAGCCAAGATTCGGGATCCGATCTCGAGAATTGTGCCAGGTTCGGGGGGTTGGAACGGAACACCAAGCTGGCAAAATTGGAAATGGTGGCCGAAACCCCCAGAAACAGGCTTTAGAGGTTGTGCTAGCCAAGACTTCTACTTTTCTCTCTATGGAGCATGATATCCGACACCAAGTGCCGAGTCTGCTGTCCGTCCAAGAACGAACCCCCACCAAAAGCCACACAATCCCACCTAGTCCATTTGCAACGGGACCAGAATGCAAGCAAGGGGGGTCGCGTGGTTGTGGGTCAGCGGCCACTTGCAGGAAGGGGGAGCTTATGGAAAAGCCATAACGATTGGCGCAAGCTTGTCTCGGTCATGGGGTTGATGGGAGCATGCTAGACGGAGGGGAGCAGTCTCCCTTGAGACAAGAACAAAACAAATACGATGTGACAGAGGTCCGAAGTCCTGTACCAGTGTGGAGTAGTGAGTAATATGGAGAAAGTTCGGCTGAGAGGATTGAAATTAGTAGGCGCATGACAAGTGCAAGAAGAGCAAGGTCAGGACGGAGCCTGGAGACTGTTCGTGTGGAGCAAAACACGGGGGACTATCTCTCTTCTCCGCACCCCAGCTACAATTGGTCTCTTTTTTCTGTTGGCGTTCTTTCGAGCTGGATCATGCCCAACCGTTCGGCCCTACAGGACTCAGCAGGCAAGAGGCAAACACGCCAGCGCAACCAAACGAGGTAGCGAGGAAGAGGCTCGTGCATGGAATCCAACGGTGGCTTCTTTCCCCCCCGGGATAATGACCAGTCACGGTGCTGCCTGTCTCCGATGCTCTGAAACCATGGAATGATCGATGCAAGGATTGATTGGTGTGTTGTGCAGAGAGTCAGATGGTGGGGGGGGGCTTAGGGAGAAGACTCAGGGTTCCAAGATAGTCACCAATGGATTGATCTTGGTGACTCAGATAGGTACCTAGTCCCGTTGTTCGGTTCCGTGAAATGCACGCGGCGCGACTCGATGCAAGAAGCCGACCAGAATGACCTGCCAAGAGAATCCCCAGATGCGACTTTTGGGGGGATGTGGTTTGGGGAGGGGATACACAAGCATGACACCACATCAGACCATTTTGCAGGGTGCCAGGAGCAGTTCCGGGAACGAACCCGACTCCGAAATGACTCCCACTTTTACAAGCAAGAAAGGAAGGAAGGAAGGACAAGTCTGGGGGCGGAAAGGAGCGTAGTGTGTCTTGTATTGGTGTGTGTGTGTGTGTGTGCATGTGTGGTTGTGTGTGCCACACGGCAAACCCCAGCCAAGACACGAGGTGGCGCGAAGACGCCCAATGAGGTCTGTTCCACGGCCTTGGGAGGGAACTTGGGAAACTGGTCTTCGTATCCAGGTCAGTCCTGCTGGTAAGCTATTTTGGAGCGGAAATACAGTCACTAGGTAGTACTACCTTAGCTTACAGCGATAATGAGTTCATATTGACTTGTCATATCTTCCTTTGCTACCTAACGCAAAACACTCACCGGATCCGACCCATGGACTGGAAGGTTGAGAGACAGTGCACGGGATTCAACTCCGATGTTCTTTCCCCCGCAATTTGAAAGGAACGGGGGAGGGGGCCCAACAACAAACACCGGACACAACAAACCTGGGGAGGAGGAAGAGGGGGGAAAAGTCGGGTGGTGGTGCCAAGGAGAGGATAAAAAAAAAAAAAAAAAAAAAAAAAACTGCTGCGGTCTGCGGGTGCAACCTTTGTGATTGCCAAGTCTCTTGGCATGCCACCACCCCTCTCCCTGCTCTCTCGCTTCTAGTCTGCTCCCCGCGGTGACCTGAACCCTAGTCAGTGGCCGTGGCAATACCTACCTAGTACCGACCCTCGTCTACCACCCCGGATCCTACTCTCACGATGCACCACGTCGGTCAGATCCGATGATCGATAATGACAAAGAAGGTGAACAGTCAGAAGGCAAATTTAGAGTCCAAAGTCAAGAGGTTATGGAAAGACAGATGGTAAGGTAAAATCTAGTCAACTCCGTAGTGGTGGTCAGACTCCAGTCCAGTTTTGCCCCCGGGGGTTGCAGTTTCCAGGGTCTGGGCATTTCGCTTACTTGAGAAAAAATTTCAACCCCGGATTGGACTCGTGATGGCCAGTAACCCCGGGCTGGAGCTGAAGTCGGTTAGCCCCGACCCCCAGCGTAAGGCCTAACCTTAAAAAATCCAGCATTGTTCACCCAATCCTACCCGTGCTGGTGGAGACCTACTAGGTACATTCTTGACCCCCCGGGCCCCAGACGGCACACGTGGTAGGGGAAAATTTCCGACCCCAGCTCGCTCCACCCAATCATCGCGGGGGTTCGTCAAGCGATGAGAGGGCCTTGCCAGTGGTGGCCCGAGTGGCTCGCCGGTTATGACCCGAGCCTTTCGTTGGTTGGAACAATAGAGTTGGGGGGGGGACTCGAGAGGGTGAACTTGGAACTGACGGGACAGTCAGTGACTGACGGGACCTGAGAGTTATACAGCCAGTCAGTCAGTCAGTCAGTCAGCCAGCCCCGAGGCACCTCCCGCCTGGCACATGGTTGACGCCTTTTGACTGAATCGGGATCTTACCCCGTACTACTGCGACTACTACTATTACTACTAATACTACTCCATGCAAACACCTACGCTTCCCATTTAGTGAGCATACCCTGCATTTACCCCATAGGTGAACGGGGTACTGTATATAGTGTCTCGCTGGTTGGGCTGACCAGTAACAACCATGCCAGAAGGTGCTAGACTGTTTCTTACGGTCGTACCATGTGCGGCTGGAGGAAGGAAAAAAGACAACCACCCTCCACCCACATTGTCCTCTACAAAGTGGATACTGAAACACAAACCCAGGGTTGGACTCCCTCGGCTCCAACCTGGACTCGGGAACTGTTGTCATTGAGACAGGAATGCGAGGAGCACCTAGACCCTACCTACACCTAGTAGGCTAGTGAGGGTCTGCTCGGGCAGTCCTCGGAACGATGGCAAATCGCTGAAGATGGCGGCGTTGACCGAGCAAGAGTCCATTCCTAATCGGGACAAGACGAAGGCAAAAAGAAGTCAAGTGAATGCAGTGAGTAGGCACTTAACTCGCTGCATCCACCAGTCCCTCACGATCCCGACGGTTGGGGAAATCCCCGTGGGCAACTTCCTTCCACTTTCTCCCCCGGGTCCGGGTCTGGCCCGAATGCAAACTTCTTCCCCTCTTCCTCTTCCTCTTCCTGATCGGGGATCCAAATTATAAAATCGCCTGCAGTCCCCCCCCCCCGGTTTGTTTGTGCCTCTTTCTCACCGCAACTCTCTTCCCTTTCTTCCTTCGACCTTCACACTCCTCATCTCTTGGTGTGTCTTTGTTCGACACCCTGTGTCATACTACTTCCCTTGCTGTGACTATCTCTCTGTCTATACCTTCCTGGTTTACATAGAGCATCACATCCCCACCACCTGCTCAACTCCGAACAGTCATCATGGCTGACGGCACGGTGAACGGCCAGCGGGTCGAGGCCCCCGTCACCGTCAAGGCCTACTTGATGTGTGCCTTTGCTGCCTTCGGTGGTATCTTCTTCGGTTATGACTCCGGTTACATCAGTGGTGTCATGGGCATGCGCTACTTCATCGAACGCTTCGAGGGTCTGGTATGTGGTTCTGCCTCTGCGATCCCCATCCACTTCGTCACGCGACACTAACCCCAGCTGGTTTAGGATTATGCTACTACTCCCACCGATGAATTCGTTTTGCCCTCCTGGAAAAAGTCTTTGATTACCTCGATTCTCTCTGCTGGAACCTTCTTTGGTGCTCTCATCGCTGGTGACTTGTCTGACTGGCTCGGTCGTCGGTTCACCATCATCAGCGGCTGTGGTATCTTCATTATCGGTGTCATCTTGCAGACTGCTTCCAGCAGTGTCGCTCTGCTGGTGGTAGGCCGTCTCATTGCTGGTTTTGGTGTCGGTTTCGTTTCCGCCATCATCATCTTGTACATGTCCGAGATCGCCCCCCGCAAGGTTCGTGGTGCCATTGTGTCAGGATACCAGTTCTGTATCACCATCGGTCTCATGCTGGCTTCCTGTGTCGACTACGGCACGGAGAACCGTACCGACTCGGGCTCCTACCGCATTCCTATCGGTCTCCAGATCGCTTGGGCTTTGATTCTCGGCATCGGTCTTTTCTTCTTGCCTGAGTCGCCCCGTTACTTCGTCAAGAAGGGTAACCTCCACAAGGCCGCTGAGGTCCTGGCACGGGTCCGCGGCCAGTCTCAGGATTCCGACTACATCCGGGAGGAGCTTGCGGAGATTGTCGCCAATCACGAGTATGAGATGCAGGTTATCCCTCAGAGTGGTTATTTCAACAGCTGGTTGAACTGCTTCCGTGGTAGCCTCTGGACTCCCAACAGCAACCTTCGTCGGACTATTCTGGGCACCTCCCTGCAAATGATGCAACAGTAAGCCTTCTAGTACGCTTTAGATTATCGGACGCGCTCATACTGACTTGCTTAGGTGGACTGGTGTCAACTTCGTGTTCTATTTCGGAACTACCTTCTTCCAGTCGGTGAGCTTGCTCCTTTCCCTAACCATGAGCTTTTCTAACAGGGCCGGTAGCTTGGAACCATTGACAACCCCTTCCTCATCAGCATGATCACGACTATTGTCAACGTCTGCTCTACCCCCATCGCCTTCTACACCATTGAACGCATCGGTCGCCGTCCACTTCTCCTGTGGGGTGCTCTGGGCATGGTCATCTGTCAATTCATCGTCGCTATCGTCGGTGTCACTGACGGTGGTAACAAGTCGGCCGTCAGTGCTATGATCTCGTTCATCTGTATCTACATCTTCTTCTTTGCCTCTACTTGGGGACCTGGCGCTTGGGTCGTGATCGGTGAGATCTTCCCTCTGCCCGTTCGGTCGCGCGGTGTGGCTCTGTCGACCGCCTCTAACTGGCTCTGGAACTGCGTAAGTCTTCAACCCCGATGTGACTTGGGTTCGTGCGTCTAACCCCTTACTAGATTATTGCCGTCATCACCCCCTACATGGTTGACAAGGACAAGGGTAACCTGGGTGCCAAGGTGTTCTTCATCTGGGGTTCCCTGTGCGCCTGCTGCTTCGTCTACACCTACTTCCTTATTCCAGAGACCAAGGGTCTCACATTGGAGCAGGTTGATAAGATGATGGAGGAGACCACCCCCCGTACCTCGGCGGGATGGAAGCCCCATGGCACTTTTGCCTCTGAGATGGGCATCACCGACAAGACTGTCGCCGAAAAGGCGGAGGCTGAGGTGATTCACCAGGAAGTTTAAGGGAACTGCGAGAGCCTGCAGGTGTTGGCAGTGAAGGTGGTGAGGCGCTGGTGTGCTTTCAGGATTTGGACGGATGAATACCCATGGGTTTACGCTTATGTACTAATGGTTCTAATTACTCACTTGCCTTTGGGTTGAGTGCATATCTAATGACAGTCATTTGGTCATTTGGTCATTTTCTAATACTTGGTTTGCCAGTGTTTTTATCTTGCGTAGTATAGGACGTAGGAAGGCTCAGTTTGCACAGCTCCAGGGACTCCAAACACTGAAAACGTGCAAGTTTAAAAGCAACTTCATGGTAAATCATTCGTAGTATGCGATAGGCTTCCAAGATTTTCTTGCTGAAGACGGATGGGAGATCGGGGCATTGGGGACATCCAGCCTCATCTGATCGTTGGGCTTATTTTTGCTGCCTCGACAGAGACATTCGATCCGACCATCTCGTCGTCAATTTTTAGCTTGACTTAATTTAAGATCAATTCTATCTTTCTATTCCTAATGTATATCTCGTTTGGATGCTGCCCTGCAGCAAATCGATCCAATCACTAGTGGCGTCCAATCCAAAGCCCGTGCCTAATGATTCTACACATAGGAAATAATGCATCTCTCCCAAGGCTCAGATCGCATTATCCTCGCCGTTGAATATATTTAGATGCCCTTGGGTTGCTCGTAGTCAGACTTTGGAATAAAGCTCTTTTTTGTTGGCGCAGCTGCTCAATAGCATGAACCTATATTTGGAGAAGAAGAGAGCCTGGGATTGAGAGGATTAAAGAGCCGAAAATGCAAAGCAATGCCAACCAGGTGAAACGTCTTTGTGCTGGTTCAATGAGCCGAGCGGCAGGAGCAGAGGAGCATGACGTGATGGAAGATGTGTCCGCTCACTCTTCTGCCTGCCAACCGAGGCGGTGAGACTAGCGGTGTCTTTGCTGAAGACAGGCGGAGAATATACCACGTGACATTGTGCCGAGTTCCGAATCGCCGTATTCATCCAGCATGCTTCGATCCATTCCTCCAACCTTTCCGATTCCCTGTTTGCGACTCATTCCTTTCGCTCTTCCTTATCAATTGGTCCATCCACAGCCTTCGATCATATCGACGTACATATGACCAACGAAGCCAGCAGTCACCGCAACCACGCAGACTCTTATCATTCCCAGTTTCTAGCCTGTTTCGGCCAGCATCGCCTCGGCCCAGGCCGCCTCGGGTGCAACGCCTGCTCCACTTTCTGCCTGGAAACAGTCACTCCACCACTCCGCAGCCAATAAGAGATACACAACCATGGACTTCTGTTGCAAAAACTCATCACCGGACTTAATCTGTCTGTTATCACCGCACACTACTTGCTTGCTTGCTTGCTTGCTTGCTGCGTAGCTGCCAATTGGGCCGCCGAATCCTTTTTTTTCCACTGTCGGGGTTTTTGGATCTCCTTTGATAGGGCTTATAAAGATGGAGTGTCCCCAGATCTGTTGCGGCCCGCCGTTTTTCTTACCCTTGGTGTGCTTCTCGAATCTTCCCTCTTTCACCCCTGGGCTAAGCTTTCTTCATCCTCTTCTGGTCTCTTGGCCGCCAAGCAATACACCCTGACATGTGTGGGTGAGTTGATCTGGTGGTAATGTCCAAACTCGCTGCACCATCCGAGTCGAGTAGATCTACGCGGTCGAGATCCTCGTCCTCCTCGTCCAGCACCGAGCCAGGCACCCAGTCACAGCGTCCATATAGGCTTGGGTCTTTCCGGCGGTCTAGCTCCCGGCACAGCACGGCACAGATTGACAGGGTTCATTCGGGAAAACATCTGGATGATCAGTCCGTGTATCACAGTGACCATGCGCTAGAGACGGACTCTGATGAAGATGGGGAGAAGAGCGCCGATCCAGTTGTGGAAGTTCGCGGTGGGATTGTGAATGAGCGAGATCGCGATCTGGAAGCCGCTGGCCCGCCGCCGGCGCCGGCGCTGGAGAAATCCAGGACGGCACGCTCTGAAAATGATCCTAAGCTGGTATGTGTTGCCCTCGTATTGTTCTCGATCCCGATCATCGATACTAATGTTATCAGGTGACCTGGAATGGTCCCGACGACCCTGACAATCCGAAGAACTGGCCAATGAAGAAGAAGTGGGCGGCCGTGGTCACGGTATCATGCTTCACTTTCATCTCGCCGGTGTCGTCGTCGATGGTGGCACCCGCGTTGACGGCGATCGGGTCGGATTTTCATATCACGGACGAGGTGACCCTCAGCATGACGTTGTCGGTGTTTGTGCTGGCGTACGCGGTCGGCCCGCTGTTCCTGGGTCCGCTGTCGGAGATCTATGGGCGGGTGATTGTGCTGCAACTCGCCAACCTGTTTTACCTCGTCTTCAACATCTGCTGCGGCTTCTCGAGAAACAAGGCCCAGATGATTGTCTTCCGATTTTTGGCCGGCCTGGGCGGAAGTGCCCCTTTGGCAGTGAGTGCTGCACCGTGACTGGGGATCTGTTCTGTCGCTAACCACGTGCTAGATTGGCGGTGGTGTACTCTCCGACTGCTTTAAACCCGAAGAGCGAGGCAAAAGTGTTGCTATCTACAGTCTGGCTCCACTCCTCGGTCCAGCCGTCGGCCCCATTGCAGGTGGATTCATCGCCGAAAACACCACATGGCGCTGGGTGTTCTACGCAACCTCCATCTCTGACGCCATGATACAAATTGCCGGTCTATTCTTTCTCCGCGAGACCTACGCCCCGGTGATTCTACGCAAACGCGCCCAACGTTTGCGTAAAGAGACCTCCGACGAAGCCTACCAGACAGAACACGAACGCGCCAACCGCACGCTCGGCGAAGTGATGCGGAGCGCTTTGATGCGTCCGTTCCGACTCCTGGGTACGCAGCCCATCGTGCAATTGCTGGCTCTGTACCTGGCCTACATCTACGGAACCATGTACCTCGTGCTCGCGACGTTCCCGACTCTGTGGACCAGCCCGGAGTACTACCACGAATCCACCGGCATCGGCGGGCTGAACTACATCTCGCTCGGCTTGGGCTTCTGGCTGGGCTCGCAGCTCTGCGCCCCGCTCAACGACCGCATCTACCGCCGCCTCAAAGCCCGCAGCGGCGGCGTCGGGCAGCCCGAATTCCGCGTCCCGCTGCTGTACCTCGGCGCCGTGCTCGTCCCCGCCGGGCTGTTCATCTACGGCTGGACGGCCGAGACGCACCGCCACTGGATCGCGCCCAACATCGGCGCGATGCTGTACGGGCTGGGCAACATCATCACCTTCCAGTGCGTGCAGACCTACATCGTCGACTCGTACACGCGCTTCGCGGCCAGTGCCCTGGCCGCCGTGGCCTGCATGCGCTCGCTCGCCGGCTTCGGGTTCCCACTGTTTGCGAGCTACATGTACCAGGCGCTCGGGTATGGGTGGGGCAATAGCCTGCTGGCGTTTGTGTCGATCGGGCTGGGGATCCCTGCCCCGCTTTTGTTGTGGCGGTTCGGGGAGCGGCTGCGGAAGATGAGTCCTTATGCGGCTGGGTGAGGCGGGATTTGATAGGTTGTCTGGGTAGATATTTTGTTGGTCAACAAAAATATACATATGATATATTGCGGCGTATATAGACGTCCGGCTAAAATGAAAAAGTGGCAATTTCGCTCTTTCTGGTCCACTTCCGCTGTGCTAGGCGGGTGTAGCGCTTCTCTCCTACGGTGGGTAATGGTGCAGTAATCGAACCCTCTTCTTCTCGTCGAAGGGGTACGTATAGAAAGTCGACTTGAGTACTAGTTCCCCCTTCTCCCTAGACTCATTCAGTTGGAAATCCAAGCTTCCCGTCTGGTTTCGACCAGATCAATTTTCGATTTGTACGTGCTAGTTATCGGGTGTGCTGACTCTCGACTGTTACTACCCTCCCTCGCCACGAATTTCACGACTCGTATTGAGATTTCCAAAATCGGTCAATATTCAACGAGAATGTTTGACTGGGGTTCATCGCCCCGAACAGCTGTAGCAGGAGAGTCCGCACCGGTCTGATTTCGTCTATACGCGCAGGGTATAGTACTGAGATCCTCTAGCCTCTCCACCCAAGGAAATCGATACTGGAACTGATAAATCACACCGAATAGGCCTCAGTTCTGCATTACATACGTGAAGCATTCAAATCCCCGCCGAGGTCATCCTCCTTGTTCCCCGGTTCCTTCCTCCAGCCGCACTGTCCTCCTCACAGTCCGTATGTATGTACTGTACAGCCTTTCACCGATTGACATTTTGTGCAAGAGACAACCCACAAACAAACAAAGCAAAAGGTGAGTAGATTCGACTAGTCCCTTAGGCCAAGACTTATCCATCCGATTATTGTGGAATGTGTATGAACGGCTCCGAGGGAGCAGTCTGTCCACACCCTGACATTGCATTTGCCGACGGGCGACGCCGCCTACAGTCCTCAACGCGGTGTACATTGCTTTCCACCCTCAGAGTCCATTCTAGCACCTATTCTACTTTTTGCCACCCACACGGAAAGCTGGACGCGACCGATCCACTTGGAATCTGCGTTTGCTTTGCGACGATGGTAGAAGGGTGTGGCACTGTTGAAGCAAAGGTGAAAGTAGCCAGTAGCAAGGGACGAGAAACGAAGGTGACAATGGAGACGCTCTTTCTGGCCCTTTTCTGCCGCCAAGTTGCATGTCTTCGACGTTTGGGGAGAGCCGTTTAGAAGTTCTGACAGGGGAACCAGGTCAGAACCATCATGGTTCTCTTTTCAATAGCATTTCAGACACGGAACTCCTCCTAGAAAGCTCCAACTTTCGCGTCCCAAAAGCGTCTGGTCCAGCAGATCCGCACTTGATTGCTTCACGGGCCCGATTCGACCCTAGCTCTTGCTTGCGCGTACAATGTGTTAGATATAGTCCAGGATGCGCCAAGTCTTCGGCAGGTCTCCCGTTTCCAGATGCCGTTTGGGTCCTGTCCCCTTCCTCAGATCGAAGGTGAGACACCCCGACGACTCCAAATCAGGGTCAACTGAATGTCCTGCCTCGGCTAGGATGGGACCCTGTTCGACTCCAACTCTTGCAATTTCTCATCCTCCAAGAAGTGATAGCAGACAAAAGGCAAGCATTACCTGCACCGGTATGCATGCCCGTTTTCTAATTCATGAAATAGATCCTAATATCCAGTTCAACAATTACCACGCAAATCCACGTCTTGGAGGATATGTGAATTGCGTGCTTTCGACCACGCTCACATCCCATCAACACTGGCATTTACACCAACCTCCCACTGCAGCTTCCAATGAAACACTCCGACCACTGAGCCAACGGCACTAGATAATAGACTTCCCGCTGACTCATAACCCTAAATCCGCAGGGTGCTGCACAATCTGCCTCTTTGGTCTACTGGGTACAGTGCATAACGCTACGTACACAGTACTTGCTCCGCCCTGCCAAGAACAGCGAACGTCTTTTCTCGCTAGTAGAGAAACAATATGTACGTGACTAGTACGTGTACCTGTGCAGATCGTCTCCAGAAACCGAGGATATTCCACAAATAAGACGGGGCACATTACTCAGCGCTGGTGGGAGGGGGACGAGAGAAGGCTTGGCGGGGGATCCGAATCCGCCCGGTGCATTGCCAAGAGCGTTAGGGTGAAGGGGACTAGCCCTAGGGCCTCTAGGGGTTGCAGAAGATGCGTAAGCTGGTGGAGAACTGCTGGTCAGTTGGGGTCAGGGAAAAGGGTCGTCGATGGTTGGGTGTGTTTCAAACTTTATGGTTATGCTTATTTCTTTTCTCTGTTGTTCTTTTTCGTTCTGAGATGATTTTCGTTCGCTGTAGATCTTGGATACCGTTGGACTGGTTGAAGGATGGAGTAGGTTCCTCTGTAGATGGAATGATAGAGATGTTGTATTCCTAGCGGTACTTGACTAGGATTCAAAAGTAGAAAACTCCGTTTGGCAAGGGTGACTAATCCTGTTTGCTTCGATTTAGCACCAGAGCCCTGAATTCGCCGGCCGAAGATATTGTACTGTACGTACTGCAGGGTCCATCTTCCGCTACCTCAATCTAGCCGTCCACTTGATGAGACATGTGGCTGAACCCCGACATGTTTTTGTCGACCAATCCCAGTCTCGTCGATTTTAAGCATGCCTGTCTGCCATCCGCTTACGAAACGGACCCTCGTCCTGTGTAAGTAACTGGATTTGTTGTGCCAAAAGCGCGAGGGGGTGGATCCCGGCCGCGTCGTCAGCGGCCGATGATCCTGCCCCGATGGATAACGGGTCTGGCCCGTTCCTTTGAGATCTCTGCGTAGATTCCATGGAGAAGCAGCGGATGAGGCAATCGATTACATTTCTGAGGTTTTCTAGCCTTCAAAGTGGTGATGTCTTGGCGGGGGGTGGTCTCCGCCGGCGGGTCTAACAGCACTTGTGCCAGCTTTGGAGCTAGCTAGCTTGCTAGCCAACTTGCTTGTTTGCGACCTGTGTGTGCGTGTATGCGTATGTGTGTGCTACACTCCTATCAACTGGTATCATGCCCCCTGCGCAAGACGAGGTCCGGTCGAAATGGCTTGCGTCAGCTGGGGTTGGCAGCGGCAGCATCACGGAGGCATGGCCGGTATCCATGTCACTCCGAGGTTGAGAAGAGGAGGACAGAAGATATAAAAGCTTGTGTTGACCGCTGCATCTCGTGAGACAAGACAACAACAGCATCACATTCCTTCTTCCACTCACTCACTCACCAGTCTCCTCTCTTTCTGAATTGCACCTCTTGTCAATATGGTTCGCGTTACTGCTACCGTGATTGCCGGCCTAGCTGGTCTAGCCGGCATGACCTCTGCCCACCCGGGCCACGACGTGCGCGCTGAAGCCGCCGAGCGTGCTGCCTTCTTGAAGCGTGCTCCCATGCACGCTCGTGGCACCAGCCAGTGTGCCAGCAAGCTCAAGGCCCGTGGCCACGAGAGCAGCAACATCGCGCGTCGCCAGGCGACGCTGGACTCTCTGCGTCGTCGCAAGGGATTGTCCACTCGTACGCATGACCCCATCTTACTCTCACGAACAAAGCATGCTCACACACACTCTCCAGGCGCACCTCCCCTCAAGGCCCGCGACCTGACCACCATCCTCAACACCTCCCACCTGTCCTCGTTGGATGTGACCGAGAACACTCAGGACTATGATACCTTGTTCGCCTCCAACGCCAGCTGCGTGCTCGGCCCGGACGTCACCCAGGGTCCTTACTGTGAGTCTCCCTGCCTCACCCCAATCGAGGGGCCATCCAACTGACAATAACATCAGACGTCACCGGCGAACTGATCCGCAGCGACATTGTCGATTCCCAGGAGGGTGTCCCCCTGTACCTGGACATCCAGCTAGTGGACAGCAGCACCTGCGACCCGGTTCCGGATGTCTACATTGACTTCTGGCACTGCAACGCCACCGTACGTTTTCCCTGCCTTTTCCGCCTGACCCCACACAGATCCACACCATACTAAACTTCCAGCAAAATAGGGCGTCTACTCCGGCATCCAAGCCAGCGGCAACGGCAACTCCAACGACGCGACCAACCTGGACGCGACCTTCCTGCGCGGCATCCAGCAAACCGACGACTCGGGCGTGGTGCAATTCCAGACCATCTTCCCGGGCCACTACACCAGCCGCGCGACTCATATCCACGGTGAGTCTGCCTGCTCCAGCCCCTTACCTCTGCTTCAAGCTCCCCTCCCCCCATCCCCCAGACATCCCGCCCCGAGATACTAACCCCGCTCAAAAGTCCTAAGCCACAACCCCAACACCACCACCACCACCAACGCCAACGACACCCTGACGGGCCTGTACAGCACGACGGCCAACCACGTGGGCCAGCTCTTCTTCGACCAGGACCTCATCACCGAGGTCGAGGCCACCGCCCCCTACAGCACCAACACCCAGGAGCTGACCACCAACGCCAACGACTCCATCCTCTCCGAGGAGGCCGACACCATCGACCCCTTCGTCGAGTACGTGCTGCTCGGCGACTCCATCAGCGACGGCGTCTTCGGCTGGATCTCCCTGGCCATCGACGCCGATGAGTCGTCCAGCATCACCCCCGCCGCGTACTATACCGCTGATGGCGGCGTGGAGAATGATTCTTCTTCGTCTGGTGGCGGCGGCAGTGGTGGTTCCGGTGGGAGCAGCAGTGGAAGTGCGCCGGGTGGGCAGAGTTCGGGTACTCCCGGCCAGGGCGAGGGACAGGGACAGGGTGGTCGGCCTTGAGGGGGGGGGGTAGTTTGTCTTTGTGAGGGGGAGAGAGGGGTTAGGGGGGTGAGGATGTTGTCTTGTTACAAGTTTAGTTGCTTTGATGAGGAGGGGAGGAGAGGGGATGATGCTGATAGCTGGGGGTTGGTTTGAGGGTTGTTGTTGTTGTTGTTGTTGTTGTTGCTGTTGCTGTTTCTGTTGTTAACTTCGCTTCGTTCACTCCCTTCGTCTGTGCCCATATGGACGATTGAGATCTTGAATATATTATACTATATTTTTGGAATCTGGTTGACCGTCTCGTAGAATGGAATGGGTGTATTC